GAAGCGCGTGTCCACGCTCAAGAAACCGCTGGCCGCCTGCCGCCAGCCGCTGCGCGGCATGTTGGACAGCTTGAGCCCGGCGCCCGAGCCGACGGCGCCGGTCTCCAGCGAGAAGCCCACCCGCACCGCGCCGCCCAGGCCGACCGGCATCTCGCCGATGCGCCGCGCCATGACGACGCGGGCCAGCAGCATGTTCTCGCCGAGCATCGAGCCGTCCGGCGTGCCCGACAGCCGCAGGTAGCCGCCCAGCGACCGTGCCTGACCGCGCTCGGCATGCGCGAACTCGCCGTAGAGCTGGCCGGCCCATTCGCCCAGGCGGAAGGCCGCGAGGCCCAGCAGCGACGCGTTGATGACGCTGTCCTCGCCGCGCGGGTGCAGCCATTCGATGCGCGCCGTCGTCCACTGCCCGCGGCTGGGGAAGGCCAGCGAGTCCAGCGTGTCGGTGTGCAGTTCGATGTACTGCTGGCCGTAGGACTGCGACCGCCGCGCGCCCTGCGTGATGACGGGCAGCACGACCTCGTCGTCCGCGCGCAGCCGGCCGACGCCGAAGCGCAGGTCACCCAGGCCCGCCACGCGGTGGCCGAGTTCGAGCTGGGCGCTCGTCAGGCTGCTGGACAGGCGCAGCGCGCGCTGGCCCTGGTTGAAGACGTCGTTGGCGCCGGCCTCGTAGCTGAGCTTGGCGCTGGCGAACCAGCGCGAGCCCGGGCCCAGCGGCTGGTAGAACTCGGTGTTGAGCCCGCGCGAAGAGCCGATGCGCGCCACGGTGCGCAGCTCCGCGCCCCAGCGGTTGAGCCAGTTGGCCACGTGCATGGCCACGAGCGAGTAGCTGCTGGCGTCGGAGAAGTCGCTGTAGAGCTCCAGCCCCAGGCGCACGCGGCTGGCGGCCCAGTCGGCCTCGGTCAGCTTGAACTCGACGTTGCGTTGGCCGTCGCGGTCGTCGATCTCGGTCTCGATGCGATCGAAGTCGCCGGTGCCGTCCAGCCGCTCGACGGCGCGCGTCAGGTCGGCG